AAATTCAAAGTGATGAGTCTTAATGAACTTGATAGAATTATTTTGTGATGGTAATTTTTTGTATGGATTGGTTGTCTCCTACCATGCTATAATGAATTATCGCTTAAAGTGATCGATTTAAAAGAACTCGAAAGGTTTTGAGATTATAGTGGTAAGTAAATCTGTTATCTAATGTGATTTTAGCAGTAACTGCCAAGAAGTTGTTTCTACAAGGTTGTTAAGTCTTCTTAATCAATATGAAGGATATGTATAATGTGAAGGATATTGTTTGAGAGTATTCAAATATGTTTATAGAAGAGTTACATGGATTACCTCCAGATTAAGGTATATATTATAAAATAGAAATGTTACAAGGTATTGCATTTGTTTCTATAGCCTCGTATTGAATGGCTCCGACTGATCCCATAAAATTAAAGGTGTAGTTATTAGAATTGTTAAGATCGGGCGCTTTCAGAACTAAGTGTGTCATCTGGGATGTACTAGTGTTAATTGTGAAAAAGAAAGATAAATCTATGCAATTATGAATGAACTATTATCAGTCAAAATAAGGTAAAGAGTAAGTATCTTTTTATGATGATTAATTATATTTTAATCAATTAAAAGGTTCATTGATGTTTTCTAAGATTTAATCTCTGATATGGATATTATCAGCTAAAGATTAAGGAAGAAGATATTCTTAAGAAAGCTTTCAGGACTCAATATGAATGGTACAAGTTTATGGTAATGCCATTTGGTTTAACGAATGTTCTTGTGGCATTTATGGTTTTGATAAATTGAGTATTTCAGTTATAATAGTACTAATTGATGGTAGTGGTCATCGATGATAATATGGTCTATTTTAAGACTAAAGAAGAATACAATGCACATTTTTGCATGATTCTCCCAATTCTTCGAGAGAAATAATTGTATGTTGAGTTTCGGTTGTCTAAAATTACATTTCTTAGCCATGTGGTTTTAGATGAGGGGGATAAGAATAGACTTTAGGAAAGTACAAACCATAGTCGAATAATAATTTCCAAAGATTAATTCTAAGATTTAAAGTTTTTAGGGCTTGTTGGTTATTATTGAAGGTTCGTAAAAAAACTTTTTGATGGTTGTCTCCCTTTTGATCAAGTTATTGAGAAAATATGTGCTATTTAATTAGATTGATATGTGACAAGAAAATTTGAAGATATTAAAGAAAATGTTGATAGAAGCTCAGCGTTAGTGTAATCCAATATGGAAAAGACTATATGATCTATAGTGATGTGTTTCATAATGATTTGGGATGTGTGTTTATGCAAAAGGACAAGTTATGGCTCATGCTTTATAGAAATTAAGAATCATGGAAGAAGTTATCTGACTCATGATCTTGAGTTAGCATGAGTTGTGTTCATTTCATAGATATACCACCGGTGAGTGATGTTATATTTATATTGATCTCAACAAATAAAAGTATGTGTTAACTTGAAGGAGTGAAAATAAAGGAAATGGATTGAATTCCTTAAAGAATGATGATGTGCTTATTGACTACCACTAGGAAAGGCTAATGTGGTAAATGATACGATAAAGCTGGAAGACATTTTTGTTTTGAGAGTTTGAATACGTGTTTGTCTTTAAAGAAAGACGGTGTTTTGATTGCAGAATTAAAGTTAAAGTCTATGTTGTAAGATTGAGTAAAGGATCTTCAAAGAAAAGATGAAAAGTGATTGTCAAAGATGGATCAAGTATGAAAAAAAAATGAAACCAAAGACCAATCTGATGGATGATTATATTATCGAGGGAAGAGTCGAATATTAGCGGCAGATATGAAAAGAATTAGCATCGAGTATGTTTCTAAATGTCAGTCATGTCAACAAGTTAAAGTAGAGCATCAAGTGCCTTCTAAATTGTTGTAATTTATTTCCATCACTTAGTGGGAATTGGAACGAATTAGAATGGATTTTGTAATAGGTAAATATTATTTAAGATAATTTCAAGATAGTTGTTGAACGATAGAAGTCTTATTCAGACTTGTAAAGAAAATAGATCTTTTATCAAGTTGATAATAAGTGTTTCTTAATGTATTGATTAAATCCTTCTCATGTTATTGCACTGAAGGATATAAAGATTCAGTCAGAATTTAATCTGTGAAAAAAGACAGTACTTATTAAAGTACGTTAGAAAAATCAAAGGTTGAGGAAGTTGATTGAAAAAAAGAATAGGATAAAAAAATAGTATCTTCATCTTTTTACATCCAGTACATATCGAAATATTAAGGATGAATTTTTATTAATGGGGAGAATTATAATACCCCAAATTTTGGTTAGTGACCAAAATATAAATTTTGAAAGTTTAGTGACCAAAGTAAAAAGTTGGAAAAGTTTAAGGATCAAAATAGTAATTTTTTTAAATTTTAGGTATTTTAACCCCATAAATGAACAATTCATCCCCAAGAATGTGAATTAGAATTTTGATCCTAAAGCAATAAAGTCATAAAGAAAATCAGATAATCGGATAATCGGATCGAACAAGAATTTTACAAAAAATTGAAGGATGATAGACAAATTTTGGAAATATTATTTCCAAATTTTATAATAGTGAAATTTAATGTGGATCAATGGAATTGAAGTCGATTTTACATATTTAGCTGAAATTGGAAAATTTAGTGACTAAATTACAAGTTTTGAAAATTTGCAAGGAAAAATGTGGAAAGTGGATATTTATTTGTTCATATTTGACTTTGGAATATTGAAAGTGATGATAATGTAATGGCAAGTTGAAATTATCATGCTTCATTTAGGGTAAAATGATAATTTCACATTAAATGAATTTTCAATTCATTTATATTAGATTAAGCCAATTATTATGTTTTAATTGAAGAAAAATCATAAATTTTCGGTTTCTTCCATCCCCAAAACGTGCACCACCATAGCTACAAGGTAATAAATTTTTTATTTTATTTTAAGCTTATTCGATTGGTTTTTGGATTAAGCTATTCGATAGAGAATTAATCCCCTTGAAATTCTCTATCATTTGGTATAAATATTACATGGAGATCATGCTTATAGGAAGAGTTTGGAAATTAGGGTTTATTAAGATTTGTTGATTTTAAGGATTTGATGAAATATTTTTATGTTTTTTATGTTGGAGATTAATTCTAAAGCTTGTATGATGATTAAAACTACTTGAAATTGGGTGAAATTTCATTTGGCCATGACCTAGGGTTTTGATAAAATTGTTATTCGTATCTCATTATAGTTTTGTTTAAAACAAACAGATACTGATTTCGATAGGTATACAAAAAGTTATGAACTTTTAATTGAAGAAATGTCAGAAAGCAGGGCAACAGATTCTGCTCAAAACAGCTTGTAACTTATACGAACTCAAAACACCCAAGCTCAAACACCCAAAACAATTAAACCAAATTACCAATAATATGTTTCGATGTTTTGAAAAGTACTTGGGTATTGATATTCTTATCGGGAGTATCAATACTCTACGTTGGGTATCGATACCCCCGTAAGTATCGATACGAAATTTAGCTTCGATGTTTTCAAAAATACTTCAGTATCGATACTGACCCTCTAAGTATCGATAATGGACCGTGAGTATTGATACATCTATTGGGCGTATCGATACTTCCCTTACAAAATAGCCTGATTTTGGCCTTTCACGAAGAATAGTATCGGTATTGTTCTTCTGATACCGACGGACCAGAATGCTCTGTTTTGAGCACAAAATTATACCCAAACTCACCCATTCACTCCCCTAAGACTACAAACGTTGTTAAAGTCTTATTTGCGATCTTAGAGGTAAAAAGGAACCATCTTTCGTGCATACAACACACAAATACGAATCTTTCCATGAAATCAGTCTAACATGCTTACATGAACAAACCATACCATTTATGCACATTTAATGAACTAACTACATGCGGTATGGACAAGTTAGAATCGTGTTACCTTGCAGCTAGATGATTGAAAAATGTTCCCAAATCACCCAAGGACTAACTTTTCCTTGCCTCTAGCTTTTGAGCTCTCCCTTTGCTCTTGCACTAATCAAAACAAGTTTAATGAGTTGTTAGCTCATTTTAAACCTTATGAAGATACCAAAAACATTTTCGTACAATTCAAATCCCATAAAATGAGCTAGAACCTAGGATTTCATAAACCCCCACTAAAACCCATTTTTGGTTAACTCACTTAAACCTTTCAAATAAGAGCTCAATTTGAAGCTTATGAGGTGTAGGATGATGCTATTACCTTAGAATTCTCAAGGGATGCTTAGGATTTTTAAAACTTGGACCTTTGTTGATTTTTTTGGGAGGAAGAATATGCCAAGAAGAGAGGAAGAAAACAAAACAAGAGTGAGGAAAAAGAGATGCAACAAACGGTGATATCATCCCAATTAATGAGAATTCAATCTTGTTTCAAAAATTGGTCAAATTACTTTCATAGTCCCTCTTCATTTGGTTCCATAATAAAACCCCCTTTTTAATACTTGTTGGTCTCATCTCAAGCCCAATTCAAATGCTACTTGGGTCAAACTCTTCATGGGCTAAGAGGATTTATTCTAAGGTCCAAATCAAATAAACCCGAAACTCTTAACCTTATTTCAGGGCATTACAACAATGACCATCTAACTATTGTTCTTTTTTTTACCACCATTTTTGAAATTTTGTCAATCAGGTACTAAATTATTTAAATGCATTCAATCAAATACCTGACGTTAACAATTAATGAAAATGCTGACGTGACAGTTAATAAAATTTGTATAATTACACATTTAGTCCTTATTATTTACATAATAAATCAAATTGGTCATAATTTTAAATTAATTCAATAAAACGAATGTAGTCTTTACATCCATCGTTTAAGGCCATATCCTCTAATAGTTGGCCATGAAACAATAGAGATAATACTTGATGTATTTTATGTTGGATATTGACATTGAAGTTTATAAGTATATTATTAAGTTAATGTCGGGTTTGAAAACCGTGATAACGTCTCCTCTTCAACATAACTTATGGAGATGTACACACGCCGAAGCTAAAACTGAAGCAAACAGGTAGTAGAATTGCGTCACTTTGTGCCCATTGTCCATTGCAAGAACTTCTGGACGCTGTCAAGCCCGCACCGCTTTTTCACAACCGGCATCACGGCTGGAACCTCCAACTGGAATGCTCTTGAATTAGATTCGTCTACTCTATTCCATGAACCAAGTTGCCGCGTGGCTTCAGCTATGGCCGCCCTCATGGCAGAGTGAACTAAAACCGCCAGCGTTAATAGCGGCTCACCGGATGCTGCAAAACAAGAGTCGACGAACTTTGTTGATTACCAAAGTTCAAAAAAGAAAAGAAAAAAAAGAAATAGACATGAACTATATGGGAATTTTAAAAGCTTGCCTTTTGAAGAAAGCACACGTTTCTGATGATGTTCGCTGTTGAGGATTTCCACGTTGAATTGTTTGGGAATTGTGTCTAGGGTAGGGTCTTTATAACTCCATGTTCCATTTTCGGTCACTAATCCATGTGAGTTTGTGGGGTATTCTTCAAACATAAAGAATCCAAATCCTTGAACGTAAGCTCCTTCGATCTGCAAAACATATTGTTTCCTATGTTAATCGAATTGTTTGGGAATTGTGTCTAGGGTAGGGTCTTTATAACTCCATGTTCCATTTTCGGTCACTAATCCATGTGAGTTTGTGGGGTATTCTTCAAACATAAAGAATCCAAATCCTTGAACGTAAGCTCCTTCGATCTGCAAAACATATTTGTTTCCTATGTTAATCGAATTGTTTGGGAATTGTGTCTAGGGTAGGGTCTTTATAACTCCATGTTCCATTTTCGGTCACTAATCCATGTGAGTTTGTGGGGTATTCTTCAAACATAAAGAATCCAAATCCTTGAACGTAAGCTCCTTCGATCTGCAAAACATATTTGTTTCCTATGTTAATCGACTTGGACGAGTACTAGCCTCACTCACTGTTGCACCATAGTTTAGGTACTGCACAGAAGGAGATTCGGATATAAAAAGTGTGCTTGCAGATAAGGTCACAGAAGTTTGATATGCCTGCAATGAATGTTAGATGAAGATGGTGAAACAAAAAGGATACCATAGGCAGTATTCTAAATATCGGACTGGAGATTGAACATGATTGGTTCAATGGGAGAGAAGCTCGAATTGAATTACATGAGTTCGATATTAAAACAGTAAATCTCAGCTCATACCTGAAGAATCAATGTTTCCCATTCAAGAGTTCCCATATGTTCCATCAACTGTTCCGTAAGAGCAGTAAGTTTCTCAACCAAGACATTGCAACAAATTCTAACTGTTTCACAGCTCGATTCAGATGTTGTGCTGCCACCAGTGAAACCCCCTTGAATCAAACTCAAAGTACCAGATTGAATGACTCTTACTTTCTCCAACAGCTCTTCGATGCCACCACGTTTGATTAAACCAAGACTATATGCAGCCACTTGTTTCACTTTGGTCCATGGACCCTGACCCAGATCAACCCCTCCAACTTCAACAGCAATGGACCCATATCAACCCCTCCTCGTTTTATTGAATTAATTTAAAATTATAACCAATTTGATAGTTTGTGTAAGTAATAAGGACTAAATGTATAATTATATAAATTTTATTAGTTGTAACGTCAACACCTCCGTTAATTGTTAACGTTAAATGGCTTAATTGAATGCATTTAAATAATTTAATTATTTGATTGATAAAATTTTAGAAATGATGGTCAAAATGAAAAAGGATAATAGTTAGACAGTCATTGCTATAGTTTACCCAAAAAAGATTATGGAGAATAATGTAATTAATATTTTATTTTAATTAATTTACCTTTAAAATGTTAATTAATGTATAATTATATGTTTAGTGTTTTAGAATTTTAAATTTTTAAAAATTAAATTAATTGTGTTCATCGTTAATAGTATTTAGCAGTGCTCGTCTAACGTCGTAGAATTTTCCTATATAATTCATGATAATTGAGAAAAAATAATTAACGTGTGTGTATATATATATATATATATACTAAATGTACATTTTAAATTTATTTTTATTAATATGGGTAAATACAAAGTAATATCAATTTAAATATAACCCTTAATTATCTAATATTAAACGTTTATACTATGATATTCCTATTGCTCGAATTTAAAACTTAAAAAAAACAATAATTTTTTTACCACTAAATCATTTAATTCTATAAATTTAAAATTTAAATCAATTAAAATAATACAATTTAATTCATTTAAAATTTATTTAAATTCTCGAATCAAATCGTTTAAATAAAAAAATGGGCGACCCAACCAATGGACATAGACAGATTTGATTGATGCTATTTCTCGAGACCAAAGAAGCAAAAAAATACCGAGTTGAAGTTAACTCGGTGGGGAGTTTGAACACAGCGTGGCCTTTCCTCTTCTTTTCGACTCCATTTCTAATCAACTGTGTAGTCCTCAGTAAACTTTGCTTCTGCTTATCTTCTTCATTCTCACTGTTCAAGCTTCTTCTCTGCTTCTTTGTCTCATTATCGTCACTCTCATTCTAAATTACATAACTGACACCGTTTGCTTTTAATTTTATCTTTCTGACACCGTTTGACCAATATTTCCAGAAGTAGCACCCTTTCTGCTGAGTTGGCAAAGGCGCGTCCCCGGGGACGCGCTTTACCCGTGTTTTCGCTGAGTTGGATGCCACGTGTGAAAGGCGCGTCCCCGGGAACGCGCCTTCGCCAACTCAGCATACACGTATTTTGTTTTATAATAAATAGTTTATTTTTATTATTATTATAAATTAATAATATATTATGTAAAATGTTTAGATTATAATGTAAGAATTATCAAGTTTCGATTATTTTTTATTTTGATTATCGATCTATTAATTTTATTAGTTAATTATTTAAATGTTATCAATCTAGTCATCTCATATCAATATTTAACGAAAATATTGATGCATAAGTTAATAAATTAGTATAATTACATATTTAATCTTCAAGACTTACATATTTTATAAAATTAGTCTTATTGAAAATTTATTTTAATAAATTTAATACTCCAATCAGAACATGAAATATGTCATCGTATACATAAATTTTTTAATAACTTTTAATTTGTTTAATTTAATATTTTTCTCTACTTAGAAGGTGAAATTATTATTATATTTTAAAAAAATTATAACTAATAATATTAATTATTATATTAAATAAATATATTAAATATATTTATGTATTTAAAAGTTAAAAAAAATTATTTAGGTGTACATACATTGACAAATTATATAAATGCAATAACATTAAATTATTAGAAACAAAAACATTCATTTAAATACAATATTAATTACATAAGAGTTAACGGTTATATGATGATAACAGAGCTGGACATTTTTTTCTATTGCGCCCGATGTTTCTACAATGCCCACATCGTTTTTGTTCTGTTGACTTCTCCCGAATATCCATATCACAATGTATTCTAGTAGATTTTGGACGACCTGAGTCCCTCAATAGCAATGGATCTGGTACAATTGTAAGCCAAGTTTGAATCTCATTTGGGTCTCTTTCGTTTCCTATGGGCGGAAACTCAAATTCATATACCTTGAATACTTGTGAAAGTTGGTATACGGGATCAACATAATTTTTGTAGTCCAAATGCGAATGTGAGCAAGCAGCAATGACATGAGAGCATGGATATTTGAGTGCTTGAAAGAAACCACAATCGCACCACCTCTCTTACAGATTAACTCTGAAAGAGTTAGCTTCAATCCCTTGCAGCGGACGTGGCATTTCGGTTACACGAAACAATTCACGGGTGCGAGAAAAATTTGTAACTAACATCCCATTTGATGCAACCACTTTTTTCTGTAAATCAACTACTAGTCTTGGGTGGTAAATATGTCCGTTTTGCATCCAAGTAAGAGCTTGTCCACCGAGCTTTGCAAAGAGTTGACCCAAACGAAAATAAGTCGTTTTAACCAACGCCGTGACTGGTAAATGACGCGCCCCCTTTAAGGTTGAATTTATTGCTTCAGCCAAGTTTGTTGTCATATGACCATAGCGATACCCCCCGTCATATGCATTTGTCCACATTTCTTTGCTGATGTCCATAATGTACTCGCACCCCTTCTTATTTTTGCCAAACAGCTCTTGTAGCATCGACTCAAACCTTTGAGGTAAGAGTTCGTAACCTAAGCCATTAGGAATATGTAATAGTTAATATGAAGTATAAATAAGTAATAAGAAATTGATAGAAAATTTGGGAAAAAGTAACATACCCATCCGCACGACTAACTGACGTTCATCGTTCTTCTTGTATTTTCCGTAATAGTTTGCAGCAATATGACGGACACAATAACGATGTTGAACATGTGGAGGTCTATACATTGTACCCAAAGAGTCCATTGCTGCTTTTATCCCGGCTCCTCGGTCTGAAATAATGCATACTCGTTCCCTGGTGACAACATGTAAACGTAAATTTTTAAGGAAAAAAGCCCAAGACTCAGTGTCTTCTCCTTGAACGAGGGCAAACGCAACAGGAAGAATATTGCGGTTTCCATCTTGGACCACAGCCAATAATAAAACTTGCTTGTATTTCCCATACAAGAAAGTACCATCAATTTGGACAATTGGTTTACAGTACTTGACTGCATTAATACACTGAGGGTAAGTCCAAAAGACTCGGTAAAATTGGCAGCGATCGTGAACCATTCGATCATTCACGTAATGATGTTGAGTTTCGAACTCAACAATTGTCCCGGGATTAAGTCTTTGCACAACATGAAACCAACTGGGCAGCTCGTTGTAAGAGGAATCCCATTCGCCATGAAGTTTGCAAATGGCATTCTGTTTTGCCAACAACGCTTTTTTATATGAGACAGTGTACCCATATTGTGATTGTATAGCATAAATCAACACTGCAACAGCTATATGAGAGCTTTGTTTCACAATGGGCATGATTGCTTGACAAATAATGTTGGAGTCCAAGTTGGGATGATCCTGGTTTATACCTGTTGCACAACATGTATGAGGACCGTTGTATCTGGTTAGTTCCCATAAGTTGTTCTTTCTCTTCCTCTTTGATACACGGACCATCCATTGACATCCTTTGTGACGTTGGACGCAGTAGCAGACATATTTCTCCGTGTTAGATCGATCAACTCGGGACTGAACTGAGTTACAAATATTGTAACTCTTTATTGCCATCATTGCTTCCTCCTTCGATGCGAACTCCATTCCAATATGTAAATTACCGTCATTGACTGATGATTGAAGTCCATAGTTGCCAACATCAGGAAGATCTGGAAATTTAGGCTCATACATTGCATCATAATCAGCCTCATACATATGTACAGGAAGTTCGGCTGGTGTTGTATTTATCGGAACGTCATCCTCGTCATCATCAGAATGTACGTTAAACTGTGGTGAGTCAGGTTCAACGAATAATCCCGTTTCAGCACCATCTGCACCTGGCTCCCGAAGAGGTTCTTCTGGTGGAGATGAGGGTTCCTCCGATAATCCAATGTTGAGGTCAACTAAGTTCCCGCTTGCGTGTCCTCCCCTTGAACTTGAGGCCATTGTATCATGTGGGATGTGAATAGACTGTCGTCTCGTTGGCATTTCCATATGTAAGTCGAAAACATTGGCAGATGAATGTCTGCCCCTTGAAGTAGAAGAGATGTTGCCATATGGATTATTAGTGAAGCCACGTGGGTTGAGATCATAAGCAGTTGCAGATGAGCGCCTTCCTATTGAACTTGATGGCATGGTATATGGCGTTGGATCCGCCATTAATGATGTGAAATCATTACAGATAAGTTGTGTCGGGCTATCAACTTGATCAGTTTGATATGCAATGCCAAAGTGAGAGGAATATGAGAGACCACGAGTTGCACGAACCTCAATAAAAGTGGCATACATTTCAATAAGAGATTGTGAACTCCCCATATGAGCATCAACCATCATAGAAACATCATCATCGTTTGAAAGCTGAAATGATGTATACGTGAGCGGAAAAAGTTCAGTAGGAAATCTGTACTGAAGTGAAGATAGTCTTCTCTGGCCTGCTACACGAATCTTTAACGAAATTTTTGTGATTAACTCCTCAATTGTGATGTTTCTCTTCAAGGTTAAGGGGATATAATGATCTGACTCAAAAACAACCCCCTCTTCAGCTTCCTTAATTTCTCCATCATACAAAACAACAGCAGAAAGAGGACTCATTTTCAGAGAATTTGAGAATTTAGAGTTTGGGAATTTGAGAATTTGAAAGATTGTGAACTGAAGTTTGTTTTGAAAGTTTATAATACGTTGCATATAATAGTGTCTATAATCGGAGTACTATTCACATGAAGGCGCGTTCCCGGGGGCGCGCCTTCCATTATTTCGTTAGAGAATATGTTATCATTGCCCTATTATGTCACTCATGTCCCTCGGGGACACTAGATATATCAGTACCTATTATTTCACTATTCACATGAAGGCGCGTTCCCGGGGGCGCGCCTTCCATTATTTCGTCAGAGAATATGTTATCATTGCCCTATTATGTCACTCATATCCCTCGGGGACACTAGATATATCAGTACCTATTATTTCACTATTCACATGAAGGCGCGTTCCCGGGGGCGCGCCTTCCATTATTTCGTCAGAGAATATGTTATCATTGCCCTATTATGTCACTCATGTCCCTCGGGGACACTAGATATATCAGTACCTATTATTTCACTATTCACATGAAGGCGCGTTCCCGGGGGCGCGCCTTCCATTATTTCGTCAGAGAAT